TATTGAAGTCCAAAGAAATCATTCTTAATTAGCAACAGTACCAATAAATTATCTGCATATTAAAATCCAAAATTTGTTAACACACAAATATCAGATGCATTATTGCTCTGCTTGTAGTGTCCTTTGGACAATAAGTTGAGACTTATCGCGCTTTTCAAATTACTGTGTCCATTGATTTTCATACATCACACTGGGGATCAGAAATCTAGAAAAAATGCCAATACGTGATTGGCTAAAAATAATTTTTAACCAATCATAGATTTGCATTTATTCTATGAAAATAAGTAGACATAGTAATATTTTAGACAAGGTAAATATGCAATACATTGTTGCATTATTGTTACGTATTCATTTTTTGCAATTTTAATGGGGTTAAATAAGATTTAACCAATCAGAGTTACAGATTTTGGGTGAATAAAAAATTTTATGCAGTATAACCTATAACCTTTTATGATCCATTTACTAATGGTAGGTTATTTACAGTATAACTTTCTAACCTGTTATGACTTATAAATTTACTATTATATTATGACCACCTTGGTCATAGGAAGTAAGATATGATTTAAAATGGCGAACACCGCTCGAGACCCTGTTGTGACTATAGTCATTATAACCAGTGTTGTCAATTTTTTGTTCTATTGATAAAAATTATATTCTATTCTAAATTCTATTGTTCTATTCTATTGTTCTATTATTCTTTTTGTTTTTTTGCTATATTAATATTAATTATAATCTAGTTGTCAATTTTTTTGTTCTATTGATAAAAATTTTATTTTATTCTAAATTCTATTTTATTCTAAATTCTATTGCTCCATTCTATTGCTCTATTGTTCTATTCATCTATTGCTGACAACACTAATTATAGCTATAGAGTGGGTTACTGCATATGCGACATAATATATTTGATTAAATCTAATCGGTAAACTTTAATCACATGATTATCGAAGATTATCCTTAAGAACGTCAAATGATTTAAAACAATGATTTTAAATCAGTTTATATTACTTTAAAAAGAATTTGTTTTAAAACAAATATTAAGTAATTTGACCATCATGTATGAAACGATTGCGCATATTGTAAGGGTGGTCTTACATAAACAAAGTGCCATGGCTGAAGCAAAAATAGCTAATCAGGAGTGTTAATTTAAAAAATAAACTTTTTTATTCTGCGTTTGCTTAATTTTGGGAAGGACAGCTGACCAAGAAGGGAATAGCGTTAAACAACTATTCAATTTAAACGGCCTAATTATCGTCATTGAAATTCACATTTTTATCTCATGCTTAAAAAAAAAATAAACAAAAGCGCGTGTCGATTGTGACACGAAGCACCTCCGCATCTAATGGAATCTTTTTTAAGAAAACTGTTTTACTTGAAATAAAAGTATACACGCTTGATGATTGGTGTGTACGCGTTAAGATGTGCGATGTGGAAATTGATATATTCTTTTTTGAAAGAAATTTTCAGCCAAGAAAACAAAAGATGCTGGATTCATTTAAAAAAAAGAATCATGAAAATCTTATCTCAATCACATGTTATTGATTGTTGGGCGAAATGAGATTGACTACAACAAGGAAACATTTAGGTCGTAGCATGTTTGACAATAAATATCAACAAATAATCTAATTTTGGATTAGTTTAATAGCTATCAACCGTATCTAACGATAATCTACTAAGAATTCTGAAATCCTAAAATTATGGATGAAGTTTTTAGTGCTAGGTAGAGGCCTACACGGGCTAAAAATTTGTACTTCTGCCGGCCTGCAAAATAAAATTTATTGTTTTTTAAAAGTTCAGCCCGCATTTACTATGTTTATTATATATCAGACCCGCAATTTGTGAGGTTTTTAAAATTTTCTAATTTTGGCTCGGCCCGTGCAGGCCTCTGGTACTAGGCACTCTCCATAACTAGTATAATTAGTGGTGGAACTACCAATACCTGCTAATGCGGACGTTTATCCGAATATATTTTATGCATTATTGTTAATTTCATTAAACATGATATTATTAATTCTAGACTTCCTGGCTAACCAATAGAACCGTAGAACAATTAATCGTTCTGATGCAAATAATAATTTCTCAATATGCAAAATTAAATATTTTGAGTATAATTAGTCTAATTTTTACTCAACATGCATTTGATGCTACAGATTACTTTATAACGGTTTGTTCATATCTTGTACACTAAAAGTTCTTTAACGGCTAATATTAATCAAAATTTAATAATGTAAATGAAATCCGTTTTTTTTTAAATCAAACCAAATTATAATCTATATTAAATCTAATTGTACAAATCTATATTAGTGGGATCGATCATGAATTAGACATACAAAATTCAATATCAACGATCTCTTTGGGTGCCGTTGAACTTAATACAATAGGATCTGTAGCTCCAACTACAACATTATCTTCAATACGTATCCCTATACCGTGGTATTTTGGGGGATATGCATCATTAGGTGGAATATATATACCAGGCTCTAAAAAAATTTCATGTATCATTTATTAATAAGATTATTTCGAAAAGAAAGAATATACTTATTTATTAATATTACCAATAGTTATAACCATTCCACGCAACAATCTTCGTGAACGATCAATATAATGAGTATCGTGAACATCTAGTCCAAGATAATGACCGACATGATGAGGGTATAAAACGCGATCAATATCCTAAAATACAGAATAATAGACATAAGCCAATGAACCAATAACATCAATGTTGGTAATAATATGAAAAATTTACCCCTTCAGAAAGGTCAAACCCAATATTTGATAATTCTTCTTTCATGAACTCGACAGAAATTTCATGTATTTCATTCAATGATATATCTTCGGCTTCTGTACAAAGCTAAATAAATAAATAAATATGTATATATATTCATTTATATATTCATCATGCATGCATATGGCTTTGCAAACATGGCTAGTATGTTAGACTATTATAATGTACCTTGATACAACTCCTGTTCACGTTCAAAACTGCTTCATATAACTCTTTTTGAGGTTCTGTAAAATTTCCATTTACAGGCCAAGTTCTAGTAACGTCACTTGCATAACCACAGTATTCCTAATATCAGATATAGTTAAAAACAATTATCCAAAGTCTTTATTTTGGACGTGCTCACGTTAATCAAACAAAACCAATTCACACTTACACCACCTGCATCCATTAAAACAAGATCACCATCCCTTATAAGTTGTTAGCAGTAAATATATGCACATAACATAATAAGACTGTAAATTTATATATGAAATAAAAACTATTGAGGCATTTCCGAAAGTATTTCGTCATTGATCTTTGACATGGAGTTGCCGAAAATATCTTGGCGATTTAATAATACCGAAAATATTTTAGCAATTTAATGCCGAAATACTTCCGGCAAATACACATTATTTTCTACGTGATATATTATAAACTGATAGTAAGGTAAGTGAACATACCGTAATGGCATATCATTTCTCACATAATGCATTGTTAATGCATTAATCCCTCCAGCTACTACAGGAACATAAGCGAGAAACTGTGCACCTCGAATGCGACATTCAAAGTCTATTTTAGCATATAAATCGTGTTCTGATAATCCGGGTTTTGTAAATTTCATCGTCTATTGAACAATAATAAAATATATATATATATATTATTTACACCTTTATTCATGTTGATGCGATTATATGAAAATAATTACTTGAATAAATGCTTTGCCGGTAATTTCACCGCTTTTTCTCATTAACGCTATTTCAGCGTCGCTCTTGATCAGCCTTAACTCCTGAATGATTCGACTCAATGGTTTTACTTTATTACAAGGAAAGTTTGTTGAAATGATGAAATGAAATTAATCCAATTCATTTAGATGTTCAGATAATTATGATAATGTCAAGTATAAGTACCATAATTTCGACCTATACTTTTTTGAAGATTGTCAGTTGAGAGAATATTGGTACGTGGAGGGAGATCAATATAGATATCTTTATAATTTTTAATTATCTCTTTGATCTTCGAATTGAATCTTGCCGATTCCATGGCCTAATTTGAAAAAAAACAAAAAAAAATACATTGCACCATAACTACAATTATTTAATTGATACATAAAATAAATATTTCTATTATGAAGATTAATTAACATTCTTGCCTCATCTGCACCAAAGAAATCTATTGCACCCATAACACCCGTTCTAGGACCTTCCCACATTTCAAGGCAACGATTTTTTGGAGGAACAAACATTGTCATTTTGTAACCTCGACGAGAATTATTTTTTTCTTAGATTTTTTAAAGAATGAATATTGTAATCCCTACTAAATACATATTATTCACAGAAACTATTGTGATAAACATTTGGCATTATCTCTAACCTAGAACTATAGCAGAGTCCGGTTCATTGAAGCCTAAAACCAGACACATATTTATTTAATAGGAATTGTTATTATCATTGTAATTGTCATTGTCATTGTTAATTATTTAATTAGAATATTACATACCACATAAATAAAAAAAGTCTGTATTCTGATGGAATGGATAACTATAAAAAAAAAGGAAAAAATCTTATTTTACATGATAAAAATAAGGTGATGATGGTGTTTATGTTATACGAACAATACTTTGTTTGACATATATCGCATGCGATATCCTAATGAAATCGCAACGCTATTTTCTGATAGCCTATCCATTAACTTTGCTCTTCGTAGCTCGTACTCAATAGCTGTAATACCTGGTGTTACTATAATTATCATTGTATACAATCAACAAACATTAAAAATTAGTCGCTAACAAAAATTTGAAATAAAATAAAATAAAAAAAGAAATAACTCATAATCATCATATAATATAAATCTATTACTTTCACCCGGTTTCATCAAATGAGGGTGTGTTTCAGGAGTTGGCTGACCGAAGATACGCGGTTCAGCTGGAGTAAGCATTGCATGAGTGCCGAAAGAACGTTTGCATACCTCGAAGGCTGAACGAGTAAGGCGGTGGGTAGCATTTGAAAAGATATTCTTATTGAAATATAAAACCCAATTATAACGGAAAAAACAAACTAACATCGCCTTATACGAGAGCACAATCTAAATGAGGTCGAAAACATTGCACGTGTAGCTAAGGCGATTGATCTGTGTTGCTTACGTTTCAATGATTTGTATATCATACCAAATTTGGAAAGTTACCAAATTTGAGTGGACGAATTGATGTTCTCGCGCATACAAACCATATGCAGTGTCAGGTTCTCCCCTTTTTTTCTCGACGGCTTCCATAAATTGAAAACTATGAAAATCATTAATGTTTCTTATTTTTCCTGTAAAAAACGCAATCTTGTTTTATATATATACCCACATATTTTTTTATATATAGAATATAAATTTTCCATAGATGTGAAAATCAACTAAACTCTTTCTTAAACGTTTTATTCGCCAACAACTTCGTTTCTACATGAACTTGATATACAGTACAACATTATATAGAACACAGCAGAAAATCATGCTTATAGTTATTAACACAACTTATAATATTTTATTATTCTACTCAATTGCATTTAATTAATCATTCACGACAGCAAAACGGCAGTTACTTTCCCTGCTAACTTGCTACGTTTTCTTAATTACTATTTCCGTCCAAGCGACGTTTCATTAATTTAACGAAATCATACCACTTTCCTTTATATTTCATGGCAGATTTTTCCCTTCCCGTTCCACCAAAGGATGATTTTCGTCTTATGATATCAAAAGATTTTCCTATATCAGACTCTTTAGGTTCATCCATCGATCTATCTAACTCCATAAGTTTTGGATTTAAAGAAGTGATGTCTGAACCTTTAACTCTTAGCACAAATAATACATTTTCTGGCGCAAAGCCAACAAGTAAAATTTCTCCTGCTCAACCTTCTATCAATATAGATTCAACATGTTTAGATACTAACGCCTCTGGTGTGGAAAATGAACCTAAAAGAATTTCACATTCTGATAAATCTACGAAACATTCTTCTTGGTGGTCAAGTTTGGGCAAGCTTAAATCTAAAAAACAATCCTATAATCTAAATAGAACTTCCTCCTCACAC